TCCCTCCCTCCCTCCCTCCCTCCCCTTCTCTCTCCTGATTCTCTGTTATATTTCTTTTCTTTTTCTCTCTGTCTCTCTTTCTCCTGTAGAAGAGGACCAAGAGCAAGGTGCCTCAAAGGACATAGAAAGGGAAATCAAAGCCTGATGCATCAAGGAGCAAGGTGCCTCAAAGGACATAGAAAGGGAAATCAAAGCCTGATGCATCAAGGTGAAGAAGCCTTCACCTTAGGAATGCAGGGGATCTGAACCCCAACCAATCCCATAGGTCCTTAGGTGGGGCTAAGCTATGACCTGTCTCAGGAGACTGGCAGCCAATAAAAAGCAGTGCCACCTGAGGCTGGTCCCTCTCTCTCTCTCTCCTGGCAGCATGCCAAAAGGTTTGGGTCCACCTCTAACTATTCAAGAGTATTTCCTCTCTTTTTCGTTTTCTCTTTAACTCTTTCACATATACTATCTATCTTTGACTGGCCATGCCTCCTTTGCATTACCTTAATAAACCTTTAAGCATGCCAAAAGAACAAACATATATCTTGGAGAGGGTGCAGCCAGAAGTGCTCTTTGAAGGCAAAGATGATGAGGCGTCACCTCACATATTTTGGGCATGTTGCTCCAAGGGGCTATTCCTTGGAGAGGGACGTGATGCTCTGGATGGAGGGTCAACAAAGGAGAGAAAGACCCTCGACCAGGTGGATTGACACGGTGACTGCTGCAGTGGGCTTAAAGTGTCAGGAAGTGTGAGGACAGCACAGGATAGGACCGGATTCAGATCTGTTGTTCATAGGGTAATTATGTGTCATACTCAACTCAAAGGCACCTAACAACAGTAACTACAACAACAATAAACCACTTTTACTTATTTTGCTAAAACTCACCCTCTCGTGGGAAGTATTAGCAACTGATGAAGAGATGCAAAGAACCCTAGGTTTAGCCTATTGCTGGTTTGAGCTGTTGATCCTTCATTGAGCAGCCCAACATGAAGCCACCAAGACTGACATATGACTCCTTGTTGTTGTTATGTGCCATCAAGTTGCCTGCGATGTATAACAACCCCATGTACAGCAGATCTGAACCCTTCCCTGCCCTGAGCCAGTCTCACTAATTCTGACACACTAACCCCCATCGCCCCAGTTACTGTATCCATCCATCTCACCTGGGGTCTCCCTCTCCTACGCTGTCTGTCCACTCTTTTGAGCTTGACGTCCTTCTTGCTTATTTTTTTCTTAATCTCCCCCTGTATGATTAATTTGCTCTGAAAACCTGCTGGAGGGTCAACTATGGGTTGGTTCCAACTTAACAGCACACAACAACTCCAAGAACAGGGACTTTATCTGTTTTAATTGCCAATTAAGTCCCTGCTGTCGCGTGCCCTTGAGTCAGAACCAGCTCATGATGATATTCCAGGGGATTTTCAGAGGCAGTTAATTGCACAAAAGGAGATTGCCCATCCTCCTCCCGCTGAGCCTCTGGTGCATGCAAACAGCATGCCTTTGGGACTGCAGCGCAGCTTCTTACCAGTGGGCCTCCAGGGTCATACTAATGTTTGGTACATGCAAAGTTTTTTTTAATTAAAAAAAATCTAATTTTTTAATAAACGCACCATAAGTACTATCATTAGTGTCCCACTTAAACATAGTTTTATAACTTGCATGAAAAGAACTTACTTTTTTGGTTTGTTTATCTTTGAGTATAGTGTAACAATGTTGAAATATTCTTACCGATTCTCATCTTTATTTTGGCCAATAACATGACATGAGGAAGATAGATATTTTTCAAAGGGTAGGATGGACTTGCATACTCAGTGCTGGAAAATTCGATTGTTTCTCCCAAAGTGAGCATCTATCAAAAGAGTTGTGATGAGCAATTAGTGACTGTGGCTTGGCGTGAGGACAGAGGCAGGAAGGGCGAGTGTGCACAGAGCATGCTCACCTGCTCGATAAGGATGCTGTGAGACCGAGTCAACAAATGTAAATGGTCTTGCTTGGAAGAAGAGCCCTTGAATCGCTCCGCTTTTGTTAGGTCATCCAGCAAAATGAAGCTTTTCACCAGTGTTAAACAAGATCGAGGAGAAATAAAGCAATTTCCTTCAAGCAAATGTATTATGGCCTATTAAAAAAATTCTTTTTTTAAAAAATAATTCTTCCTTCGGATAATGTACTTTCTAATTCCCTGAAGGATAAATGAACCATATGGATTATAACAGATTCAGTGCCTAATATTACTTATAAGTCCTTCCTTTTGTTCTATCTTAAATCCTTTCTAAGTATAAATGGAAATGAGGCTGCCTTCATACCTGAAGGTGTTTGATAATATCTGCCTTTAAATGCTTCTCCTGCAGACCAAGAATTACAGCTTGCATCAAGAACTCAGCCTCCATCTCTGTGTCACCTGCATTCTGTGCTTCCACACACACTTCACTGATGAGGCTCACAAAGTCTGTTGCATCATTTTCTAGAAGAAACAAATATGACTATTTAAAAAGCACCGAGAAAGTAAGAGAGAATATGTATAAAATATCCTCGGTTTTCATTATGAGTATACTGCGTAGTATAGAAGAAGAGGAGGGAATGAAGATGAAAAACAAATGGACTCTATATGAAGCATTAAGGGACACTTAACTATAATTTGGAAGAAGTATTTTAAAATGTTCTAATGCTGCAAAAGTAACAAAAAGATTGAGAATATGACAATTTAATGTGTGAGATGGGTGGAAAGATGAGCATACAAACTGATAACAATTCAGTGCTGTAATTCTTACTTTTGTTCTAGGAACTTTACAGAGTTTACATTACAAAGAGTTACAAAGATTAGACATTGTAATTCATCACATTAATCAATGGTAATTAATGTTCTAAAACAAGAAGTCTAGGGATGGTTATATGAAAAATAAATGTGTTTTGTAAACCTTCAAATGAAAAAAATTAATAGATAAGTTGAGTGAAAGGCAATACAGTATATGCAATAAAAGTTTGCTTGTTTGATGCCATCAAGTAGATTAGAACTGCTAGCATCCCTAGAACAACAGATCTGAGCCTTGCTCTAGCATGTGCCATCCTCATCGCCTCTGATATACTTGAGCCCACTGTTAAGTTACTATGTCAATCCATCTTGTTGAGGGTCTTCTTTTTCTCTGACCCTCTGTTTTCCCAGCATGGTATCTTTTTCCGAGGACTGACAGCTCCTGACAACATGTCCAAAGTATGTGAGATAAAAGTTTCAATATCTTTGCCTCTAAGGAAGACCTTGCTTACACATCCTTATTGTAATGAATTAGTTACTTAATCAATGGTAATTAATGTATGACAAGAAAATGTGTCTTTAATAACCAAATAAAATTATTATTCTAAGGTGCATCTGATACAGGCCATGGTCTTTGCTATCATTTGTTATGCCTCAGAGAGTTGGACAGTGACTAAGGAGGATATAAGGAGAAATGATGCCTTGGAGTTCTGGTGCTGGAGAGAGTATTGAGGGTGCGATGGACTGCTAGGAAAGCAAACAAATTCATCCTGGAAAGGGTTAAACCAAGCAGCTCCCTGGAGGCAAGGATTCTGGGGCTTCATCTAACACACTTTGGACATGTTGTAAGGAGGGACCGGTCCTTGGAGAGGGACATCATTCCTGGGAGGGTGGATGGGCAGCACAGGAGGGGAAGACCCTCTATGAGGTGTATTGATTCAATGACTGGGGTAATCAGGATGGGTGTGTCAAGAGACAGTGTGATTGGCACAGGACAGAGTAGAGTTTAGGGCTGTTGTACATAGGGTCACTATGAGTTGTAAACGACTCAACGGCACATAACAACAACAACAACAACAATGTAATAACATGTATTTTAATAAAAAGCCAGTATGATTTGTAACTCTCACTCAAATAAATAAATAAGAACTTTATAAAGTTTAACCATCCAGTTCTGGCAACAATTCTATAAGTAAGGTGCAAGCAATGACTGGGGTAATTTTCAGAGATATAGCGCCATTTTACAGAGGAATAAACTGAGGTAGTTGAGTGGTTAAGAGATTTGGTGAATGTCATATTGTAATAAGTGGTAGAATTATTTGCATTTGAGCCCAAGTGGGATAGTTCCAAACTCTATACTCTCAGCTTCTACACTATGCCACTTGCTTAGATGACAGTAAGAATTAGAGATTTTGAAATCTCCTTGCCTGTGTATGTATATCAATAACACATATGTAATTTTCAGAGATATAGAGGACTGTTGAAAATGACTTTTTTTTTTAATTTTCCATGACTCGACAGCATTTAACATAGAGAGAGCTTTGTTGGCCTAGTGGATAGAAAGTTATGCTATCAAGCCAAAGGTGGGTGATTTTAATCTGTGGCCCTCAGGCCTGTTTTTTTTTTTTTCAAATATTCTTCTAAGTGTTATAGCACTGGTCTGTCCATTTGCTGTACAGAGGTAACTAGCAGTTGCTGTGATGCTAAATCCTATGACACTGATGTGTCAAATGTAATAATGGTCACCCATGATGGACAGTGTTTGGTGGAGCTTCCCAATTAAAACAAGCTTGGAAGCAGGAGTGGTATCCACTTCCAAAACAGCTTGTCTTCGGAAATCCTATGAACTTGGAGAAAAAGTTATACAAGTGTTCAGGTCTTTCGTTCATAGGTCACAATGAGTCATCTACGACTTGACAACACTTAAAAAACCAGCTAGTTTACTTATAAAATTATAATAAATTGTTTTCAAGAACAAATTCTTTTAATTTCCCTCATACCCTCCTCATCAAGTTGTACAACCCCATGATTAATGCCCCCTCCCCCTGCACATCCTCATTCCTCTGCTTCCAAACTCTCCCACCCCCCTTGGATCCTTATACTCACTCTACAATAATGGCTTTATACAATATTTATCCCTGTGGGACTGAGTTAATTCTTACTAACAATCTGAATTGTTTATTTTGAAAGAGACCAGGCCAAGAAGTCAAAGAAGTATTAATGTTATCATAAAATACACCCTGATAAAAAGAATCCTACGCCTACATAAAATGAATAGAAACACTAGTTAAGAAAATAGAGATTTTATACCTTTCACGATTACGAGGCCACGGACCTGTGAAACCAGTGCAATCAACAATGCCAAGCGGCACCTCAGCCACAGATGGATGTTGAAATATTCTCGAGCATTTAGGGAAACAGGGTCTAAAAACTCATTCTCATCTTTATTTTCAGTGATCTATAACAAAATCAAAATGGTGGTTATCTTCATATTTAAATAATGCCAAAGTTTTGGCCTAACACTAGTACCAAATGTTGAAACAATAGAAGCCTTTGCTATTATTTAATAGCATCAAATCTTTAATTTTAGAAACTATTTTTGAGCCTTGCATAGAACACTAAAAATATACAAATTAAACAGAAGGTAATACAGTCTCCTATTATTAGTGCACTCAATCTCCTATTTGTGAGTACACCAGTACTCTTCAGTTTTTCTCTATGCCTCATGCCAAATGTTAATTGATTTGGTGATAAACATTCTTTTAAGTCATAAAGCAGTGGTCTGCCTATTTGCTGTACCAAAGTAACTTGTAATAGCTGTGATGTTGAACAACTGTGCCATATGTCTGTCAAACACCATAATTGTTACCCATCATGGGCAGTGTTTGGGGGAGCTCCCAGGCTGATTCAAGTTTGGAAGCAGGAGTGGCATCCTTTTCCTAAACCGCATGCCTCGGGAAATTCTACAAACTTGGAGAAACAACGATAGTTATAGTAAGGCTCAGCCCTTTTTTGTCTGTATTTAGAAGTCAGTTGGGCCCAAGGGCCTAGTGTTATTTTTAGTTTGGAGGAATATTCTTCTAAGTTGTACAATACTCTCCTGTCAATTTACTATTCTAAAGTAATCTGGGGTTGCTGTGATGCTGAACCTTGTGCCATTGGGGGGTCAAATGCCATAACAGCTACCCATGGTGGACAGTGTTTGGTGGAGCTCTCAGTTTAAGACAGGTTTGAAAGCGGGAGTGATATCCATTTCCTAAATCACATGCTTCTGGAAACTCTATGAACTTGGATTAATGATGATAATTATAGAAAGGCTTCAGGCCTTTCATTCACAGGGTTGCTATGAGTCATGCTCGACTCGACAGTAATCAATAACAATAATGCATTGCTGAAAATTGTCATTTCAAATTATATATTGCCATTTTCCATGTTATTGAAGCTTTTGTAAACAAGATATTAAAAGACTGAAAATGAGTAAGTAATATTGCTAAGTGTCCGGTATGTGCCGCACACTGTGCTGCTTGCTTTCCACACATTGTCTCAAGGCTCTCTCCACGGCCATCAATTAAGAGCTGAGAATACAGCAAGCCAAAGAGGGGCTATCATTATTATTTCCCTTTACCACTATCTCTCTGATTGCTTAAACTCATTATACTGTGCAGGGGGCACTCCATTCTGTGTCTTTTGGAATTAGAGCCCACAGTTCTAAGTGTTCTCCCAGTCTATTTCTTAAACTGCATCTTTATGATGCTCATATTGCTGACTTATCATCTTTATCACATTACATAGGAGCAAGGATATGTCCAGAGGTTCCACAAAAAAGGTTTATGGTGAATTTTTTCAAGGTAGAATTTCTCTTAAACACTTCACCTGAAAGAAACTGTAAAATAGTTGTGCCCCACCATATTCATTCTAGGAATTTCTTACCAAGGCATCTCTTGACAGCTCACCAACTTCCAACTAATCAGAAACACCTTCTAACAAAGAGCAGCTGTTCGCACCAGCCCTGAAGGAGACTAGAATGAAGATCTAGTTCCGGTTGGTTAATTGCTGTGAGTCAATGGCATGTGAAGAGAAAAGTGGGCCATTCCGGGGAATGAAGGGAGCTTGACTGAAGGCTCAGACAGGCTGGTGACTCACACATGAGAGCAGACTACACCTTGGAGGTGTGTGCCTTCAATCTCAGCTGACTGAACCCTCCAGTGAGTTTTCAGAGGCTGTAAACCACCTGGGAGGCTACTGTCCATCTTCCTCCCTGAAAGCAGCAGGTAGATTTGAACTCCTTGCCTTCAAGTTGGTGGTAGTTTAGATAAAGCAAAAACAAATAAAAAAAACTCCTCAAAGCCATTGCCGGGAAGATGGAACCAGCTTACAGTTGACCCTCCATTGGGTCTGAAGACTGTCGATCTCCCATGGAGACACTCGGTGAATTTAAGCCACCATCGAGGCATAGCCTTGGGGTTAACATGACAGCTCCCTACAGGCCACAACAGATTAAAAAAGCAGAACTAAAAAAAATGGGGGAAAAAACTGAAAGAACTGAAAAACTAAACAAAACCCCTCAATATCTCTTTACTCTCAAAACCTACGTTTCCTGTTGCTATTGAAACATCAGATTCATGAATCTAAAGGAAGGTTTGTCAACCTCAGCAATGCTGGCATCTGGGCCAGACAACTCTTTCTGGTGGCGGCTGTCTGTTCACCGCAGGATGTTTAGCAACATCTTTGGCCTCCACAGACTCGGTGCTGGTAACACATCTTGCTATGATAACCCAGTTTCTCTACAACAGAAACAGTGACTTCAAGTCTACTCTGATTCATAACTTTGTGTCTGAGCAGAACAGTGCTCCACAAGTTTTCATGAATTGCTTTTTCTGTAAATAGGTTTTTCTGTCTAGGTGTCTCTGGTAGACTCAAATTTCTAACCTCTCAGTGAGGATTTGAACACATTAGCCATTTGCACCACCTGTTGTTGTTGTTATGTGCCGTCGTCACTTGAGACTCATAGTGAACCTATGTACAACAGCCCTAAACCCTGCTCCATCCTGTGCCAATCGCACTGCCTCTAACACACCCATCCTGATTTCCCCAGTCACTGAATAAATCCACCTCATAGAGGGTCTTCCCTTCTTGCACCATCCCTCCACCCTCCCAAGCATGATGTCTCCAAGAACCTCTCCCTCCTTACAACATGTCCAAAGTATATCAGACGAAGCCCCAAAATCCTTCCCTCCATGGAGCAGCCTGGTTTAACCCTCTCCAGGATGAATCTGTTTGTTTTCTTGGCAGTCCAGGGTACATTCAATACTTTTCTCCAGCACCACAGCTCAAAGGGATCAATTCTCCTTCTATCCTCCTTGGTCACTGTCCAACTCTCTGATGCATAACAAGTGATTGCAAAGACCATAGCTGTATCAGACGCACCTTAGTCTCGAGAGTGACACCCTTGTTCTTCAGTACCCTGGAGAGGTACCTAACAGCAGACTTTACCGTGACAATATGCTTTTTGATTTCCTGGCTACTTGTGCCAAGAGTGGTGACCGTGGAGCCAAGCTGACTAAAGTTGTTAACAATTTCAATCTCTTCATCATCCATCCTGATGCTGCCAATTGGTCCAGTGGTGAGAACCTTTGTCTTCTTGACATTGAGCCTCAATCCATATTGGAGGCTGCAGTCCTTGACCCTCTGAACCACCTGGAGACTCGAAAATGTATTTAGACATTGCCAAGTGCCCCAGGAGGCAAAATTATTCCCAGTTGCAAAACTTTGTGTGAAGTTCATCTTAAGAATTAGATTACCTATTTATTGCTTTTTTTTAGGTTGTTTATTTTTCATTTCAATGAACATCTACAGAGATTTTGGGATTCCATTCATTCATTGTTGCACCCTTCTCCCCACACAAACCCCTCCCCCCCCCCCCCATTTGTTTTTTATAAAGAAATTAATCTCTTTGAACAAGTATATTTTCTGAAACAATTTTATCTGCTAGTGAGATCAGTTAGAAAATACTGGAGCTTTAACTTACAGATTGTTTTTCCCATGGATATGAAGTTTATTAGGAAAGTTAAAAGGCTATACTTTAGGTTAACGGCTAAGTAGAATCCATCAATGCAGACAGCTGTGTATGTAACAGCAAGATTCAACATCCGGCACAGGAATTGCTAGCTCCAAGGAGGCATGTGGCACTCTCTGCTTCTTTTTCCTGGTGGTGAGGGCCTCACTTATTGCCCCTGAATCTGCTCAATTTAATATCAAGACTAGCCAATCCCTTTGTGAATAGACTTCTTGTTGTTCTTTGGTGCTGTAGAGTTGAGTAAGACTCATTTTAACTCTATGAACAAAAAACTTGAACTCTGTCCTATTCTTTGCCATCCATCACTGTAACAATTGATCTGGTTGAGGGGCTTCTTCTCTTTCACCGACCCTCTACTTTTCTATGTATGATTCTCTTCTCCAAGGAAGAGCCTCTCCTAGCAACATGCCCAATGTATGCGAGATGAAGCTTTGTGATCTTTGCCTCCAAGGAGCCCTCTGGCTGCACTTTCTCTAAGATATACCTGTTTGTTCTTTTGCTAGTCTGTGGGATATTCTGTACTCGTCTATAAGAGTTCAAAGGCATCCATTCTTCTTCTGTCATCCTTATTCCTTGTCCAGCTCCCAAATGCATAGTGATTGAAAAGACCATGGCCTGCATCAAGCACACCTTAGTCTTGAAACTGACATCATTTCCCCTCAATAATTTGGAGAGGTCATTGATTGCAGCCTTTCCCAATACACTCGCTTTCTGATTTCCTGGCAGCTGGTACCAAGGGTATTAAGTGCAAATCCAAGTAAGATGAAGTTGTTGACAACGTCAACCTTTTCTCCATCTATCATCTATCATGTTGTCTATCAGTCCAGTGGTAAGAATTTGTTTTCTTGACATTGTGCTACAATTCATAGTTCAGGCTGCAGCATTTGATCTTCTGTTGCATGCGCTTCAAGTCCTCCTCACTTTCAGCAAGCAAGGTTATGTCATCTGTCTGCCTAATAAAGCTTATTAATGAGTCTTCCTCAAATCTTGATGCCACATTCTTTTCATTGAGTCCAGCTTCTCGAATGATTTGATCAGCATACAGATTGAATAGGTATGACGAGAGGATACAACCCTGACATACATTTTTCTTAATTTTAAACCTTGTAGTGTTCCCTTAGGGAGCTCTGGTGGCCGAATGGCAAGAAGCTGTGTTGCAGTCCTGAAGGCATGTGGTTTAAGGTCACCAGCCGCTCTGCGGGAGAAGGATGGGCAATCTCCCATGAAATTAACTGCCTCTGAAAATCTGCCAAAGGGTTGGCTAAGGGTCGGTTCCAACCCAACATAAAAGTTGTGTCAGTACACAACAGTTTCTTGATCTAGATATAGGCTTTGTATGAGCATAATAATAATGAAATAATATTAAATGTTCTTGGATTCCCTTTCTTCGCAACGTTAGACATAATTTGTTTTGATCCACACAGTCCAGTCAAATGCCTCTGCATAATTAGTAAAGCACAAATAGACGTTCTTCTGTTATTGTCTGCTTTTAGCCAATATCTATTTGTCATTATCAATATTATCTTCGGTACCACAGTCTCTTATAAACCAATTTGAACTTCTGGCAGTTCTCTATGTGTTGTTTTAATAATTTTTAGAGGAACTTTGGCAATGTTTTGGCTTGCATGTGATATTAATGATATTGTTTTGTTAGTTCCACATTCTGCTGGATCACCTTTCTTTGCAATGGAAATAAATAATGGATCCTTCCAGTCAATTAATTGTCCGGGCAGTTGTCCTCCAAATTTCCTAGCACAAACTGCTGAACACCTCCAGGGCTCCATCTTTAGTGGAAGCAATTGAAATGATATCCCATCAGCACAGAGTCAGTCACTGTAGCAGAAATAGCTGGCTGACACTGAAGTATTTCGTGAAGAACCATATAATCAAGAGCCAATGGTAATGAAAGAACAAGCTGTATCAAAAGCATTGATCAAAAATAAATACAATTTTTTACAAAGATTTTCCCCCACTTCACTCCTTTGCTTCATTGAAATAGACAATTTCTCAGCATACCAATAGTCCTTATCTAATAAATACCACAAAGAAAACATTAAATTCATACTCACAGAAGCTCCTGTAGGAATCGGAGTCTCTGTGTCCTCTTGTGATGCCTTCTTATTAAAAATTTTTGAATCCTGGAGAAGTTTAAGTGTAGAAAATACTATTGCGGCACTATAACAGAGAACATATTTGAAACATTATTAGTTTAATCATATGACATTTGAGTGTTATTTCCCAAGTCTCTTCTTCCTATACAACTGTCTTTTAGTTGCTTTAAAGCAAATTTAATTGCCTACTGAAGGTAAACATATATTATGCCAGTTGTGATACAATAGGAACATGACATTTTAAGGTGATAATGAGTAAATAAAAATACAAAGGAATGAATTTCCTTAGAATCTAAATCTAAAAAAATTATTTTTTCTTTGCAATAATGTCTAAAAAAAAGTATTATTGCTTTGCAATATCATGGAGCTCTGGTGGCCTGGTATTAAGAAACTGTGCTGTAATCTCAAAGGCACAAAGTTCGATTCTGCCAGCTGTTCTTCGTAAGAAGGTATGAGCAATCTCCCGTGTGATTAACTGCTTCAGAAAAACCATTGGTGAGTCAGCTACGGGTCAGTTCTGACTCAATGGTACTCAATAGCAACAAAAACAACATTGGTAATA